GCTGTATATGGTGGAACAGTCGATTGATTTGGAGGTGGATAATTTGCTACACTAGTTAGATTCGATGGATACTGATTTGGCCATGAATGAATATTTGGATATAGTTGTGGTTTTTCAAGAATTATTTCTCTAATTGTTACATTTCTTGAACGATTTGAATGTTTGACAATGCATAAAATCATTGTAATAACTACAATGAGAAGTGCAAGACCAGAAATCGTACCAACTACAATGACAATAATATTTCCAGCTGTTAATACTTTTTCTCTCGCATCTAAACTTGATGAAGACATTATGAATAGTAATGCTAGTTAGTGAACTCTATTTATTGCTTGTGCTACAAAAGAAAACGTGGGCGAACGTACCTACAACCACAATAGAAGAACAATAAATAATATTTTCTATCAAACGATAAGAATGTGCGTCTAACTTTTTTTTCTTTTCTTCCACGTCTTCATTTTCTCAATTCTTTAAGATGCAGCATGACTTGAAAAATAAACTTACTAAATTGGAAAAATATAGAATATCAGAGAAATGAAATTAAGAAAAAAAAAAGAATTTTGTTTTTAGAAAAAGAAAAGAATAATTTCACAAGTTGGTTTTTTCAAAATAGCTGTTTCTCAAAGTCTACAAAGCGATAGAAAATAGACTTTGCATTCAAAGACTCTAGACAACATGTTAAGTATTTTGCATTCTTAGTTGACGATAACATAGAAAACAAGTCTTGTTTTTTTTTTCCTTTGACATATGAGTATTAAGAGAATAAAAAGAGTTGGCTATTCTTATCGTAAAATTTTGAATAGAATAACGCATCAATCACATTTACTAATAAATATGACAGTAAAATATTGATAAAACGTTTCTTGATCTGCTCATGAAAAAGCTATGTATAACGTCAGTCATTGCATATATTACCGGCATGACTTCGTTTAATTACAATGACTCTATCTGTGATCATAAATATTTTCCTAGGATATATATTTATATGTCACACACACGATGAATAACTCGAAGTACTTTGGGAAAAGAGTAACCCCTAAGAACTTTGTTCAGAGGAACTATAACTAAAAAAAATAGCTTTAGCGACGCGAGTCAAAAAAGAAGACATCGATTAATACTGCATACATTTCAATAGAAAAAAGAAGTGAAAATTGAAGTAGCAGTTTTGAAAACTAAATGATATAAGAGATGATCATAAAATATTTAGACAAGATGTTTGTTCACTTTTGAGTCCATCGAAAACATTTTCGACGAATCAAGTACAAAGTTCTGAAGAACTGACATTTGGGAGGCAGCTTTTTTTCTTTGAATCTACTGTTGCTGAAAATTTCATTATAGATGTAGTTTATAGTATAGAATCTATCCTGAATTTGTTGAACTTTTTTCATCATATGCCTAGAAAATGATTTGCTAGTAATGTTTTAATGAACTAACTAATTAGCTAATTCGTATTGATCAAGTATGAGCTAAAAAAGCCAACATTTTACATATATTATTGCTAAAAATACTTAAAAAAGATTCTATAAATAATCTAAGCCAAAAAAAAATACATTGTCATGTTGCACTTTAGTTAATTTTGTCTGTATATGGTGAATTTCGTCACTTTTTTTCATGGATAAAAATCACTGTCATTCCCCTCTCTTTTTAGATAGCAGATCAAGCCAAAATTCTGTATTTATTTTGTTTCTTATTATAGTGTCGTTTTTCTAACACTATAAAAATCTTATATAATCATACTTTGATATCAACATCCATCAAATGTATTTATAAATATTTATTAATCAGAACTCTACAATAAAAACATGTTCACTATAATAATCAAGACCAATAGTTAAGAGATGCTTGATAATAATTGAATAAAATAAGCCTTAGTATTGTCTTTTTATATTATAATTTTAAAGATACTTTATCATTTAGATATAGTGTCTTATTTCGAAATATTGATGGTCATGTTTTTGTCAATTATGTAAATCAATCATCAGAGTAAAGAAAGAAAAATTTTAGTGTTGTTTTTTATTTATTGAAATAATTTGGGTAAAATATATATTTTATTTCAATAGGAAGATTTATTCATTGCTCATGTTCATCATTCAATTGCATAAGTTGATTGAGTAACTCTTTTATTCACAGATGCATAATTACTTTTAAAAAAATATCATGATTATCATAGAAAACATTATTTAACTTCGTATTTATCTGTATTTTGGTGTTGTTTTGTCCTGTAGTGTTTCTTGAACGATTCAATTGTTTGAAAAAGTCTACTTCATTTTCATAAATTTGAACACTATAGAACAGAATTATCAGATCTTTCAGTTTTTTTTACCTGAAAAAGTCTGAATTTTAAAGTTTTTTCCGAAATCTTTTCAGTTTCCGGATTTTTCCAAGTTGCAGGTACTTTCTATTTCAGTCATACTTTACTTGTTTGTTGATATATTCTATAAAATTCATTAATAATTCGAAAGAAGTTTTGAGCTTTCCTTCAGCCATGCATAGTATTTTCTGTTTCTTCTCTCGTTGAACAATCGAGCATTTATACTATGATAAACAAAATCTTATGTGAATAACTCATCTGTATCTTGTATAGAAACTTATAATTGTTTCTTATCAAAACCAGAACAATTGACACGTATTTATTCTAATGAAAAATATGGTATTAACAAGTGATGTGTTAATTGAATTAGTTACATTTGAATGTCTATTTTCTTTTGCTTCATTGGAAAAAAAACGTACTGTAGATAATTAAAACTGATCTTCAACTATCTTGTCGGATTTTTTATGAATTTTAAGAAAGAAATTCAGAATTTTTGACTTTGACATCTGGTAATACTGCTGTAGAATATGAATTGATCGATGAAAATATGAAATTGAGAGTCAAATTAATCATTGCTCTAATGCGTATCAATTATGTGCTTTACTCGTCTTCGTAGATCTCATTGACAACATATAAAATTCATGCTATTCAATCGATCAACTCGTGTTCTCATTCAATATTACAATGATCATGAAATACATTATGACGAAAATTATACATTCACATGGTATCTTATTATTATTTTATTGTTCATTTAACATTGATGTTGAATTTATTTTTATATTATAAATCTATTATATACACTATTTATGTTTACGATATTCTGAAGATGCACTATCGTCTGTAATGATATCATTTTGATCGAAATATAGTTTAATAATTAATTTACACAGTGATTAATATTGCTATATTAAAAACAATATGTTGCTTATAATATTGGTTTTTTTACAGAACAAAATTCAGGGAAGATATATAAGTTTAGGAGCTTTAGTAGCCACTACGACTTTTCGAGATTATTTTGAGATAAAGTAGACATCATCTATGAGAGATGGAATAGTGTTTTAATATACACGTATGCATGAATCGTAATATATGAAAATAGAAAAATAGAGTTAATGCTAACTCGGCTTTTTCTATCTATGTTATAGTGTAGAAAAAGGCACGATTTTATTTCAGAGTCTGGCCAGAGGAATTCAACATGTTTGTTATGACGAAAGTAGTATGGTAGTCGAAAATACCTACTTTGATCGTTTGGTCGTTGTCACCGCTTTTGAATGTATTACCTTTCGAATTTCTTCACGGTGTTTCTTCATAGTTCAAAAGATGAGGATGATTTGAAGATAATTTATCTCAAGCGATTTCTATCGCTCGTTGGACATTTTTCATTGTCATACTATATTGTTGTAGCCAAATATGATCTCATCAAATTATAATATGTTACAGCTAAGTCAGGATGATTTCTGATAGTTTCTTTTCGCGTATTTGTAATCCTTTCTGAAAATATGTCAATGCCGTTGAATAGTTTTGCATTTCTTGATATGTTTCACCTAAATTTGTATACGTCGTAGCATATTCCAGAGGATTACATTGAACATTTTTTTGAATATTCAATGCTTTTTGATGAAATGTAAGTGCCATTTTATAATCGCCCATAAATCGATGAACATTACCAATATTACTGTATGCAATAACCTGATTCGGGTATCTTTCTGGTAACATTTATTGAACTATTGTGAGACATTTATCAAAATAGTTAAGTGCTTTTGAGTAATTTTTCAATCTGCGATTTACTTTTTCTAATCAACTGTATGTAGAACCAAAAGCTAGATTACCTTCGTGAAATGCTTGTTTTTGAATTTGAAACGCAATATTCACATCTTTAAGATCTTGTGCATAATTGCCCATGGCATGATGTACCAAAGCCATGCTTTTGCATGAAAAAGGCAAGTGTGAATGATTCAGAGGCAGAGTTATTTCATAGATTTGATGTGCTTTTTCGTAGAATAGAATTGCTTTCGAATATTCACCCATATTACGATACATTTGACTGATGTGTTGTTATAAGGAGTAGACAATGACGGATGATTCGGAGGCAAAGCTTTTTCTCCTATTCTAAGCGCTTTTTTCATCAAATTCAACAGCTTTCAAGTAATCGCCTATGTTATTATACACTTGACTGATGTTACTGTAGGAAGAGTACCTAAATCGAGTTGTGCGTCGGGAACAATTTGTCTCTTGGTTTTGATGCATTTTTTGTGAAACACAAGTACTTCTTTGTATTGCCTTTGATCCCGTTTTATCCATCCAAGTTTCTTATAGATATATGCTTTATGATTGTCGTCGGATGTATATTTCAGTAGCGCAGTATACAATTCGTCAGACTTGTCAAATTGACCTTTTTTAGCAGTAATCTACCTAATTGGGTCCACCCTGTCAGATCAGCAGCTTCTCGTCGTATACGATCAGTTAGTCGATAGAGTTGTTGATCGTCATCTGACGTAAGTTTAAGATCCACTTGATAAAGTAGACGTTTATTATCAATGTGAAAAACGGTATGCATAGAGAAAAAGGATTTCTTCTTCTTCTTCTTGATAATAACTCGCTTCCTGGATAGAAGCAAAGGGAGTTGATGAGATAGTGAAATCTATGGTCATTTGAAAAAGGATACTGACCATACCAGTTGTTTCTAAGGTATCTTTAGTGAAACCAAGGGAGACATACCGATTTTGGTTATTAGATAAAAAAATTATTGAAAGATATAGGTCCATCTTTGTTTTTCATAAATTTGTTAAAGTCGACTGTCAATAATGCCTGTCCTCGATAGACTCGCAAGACCTTCCCATGATATTGATTGACCTGTCTGTTGTATAAACGTTCGATTTGTTGGTGCACAGTCGCTGTCGGGTGTTTGTATTGCCCGATTGAGCATTTTATATATGAAGCATTGACTTGTATATCACCAAATGGCCTTTGATGGAAAAGAAGTGCACTCGAATTCATCAATAAATTTCATTTTTTTGTCATTCACGATATTCCTTTCGGCAAAATGTAACCGATTCTTGAATGGCTTCTTAATCATATTCCATAGTAAAGAAAATTTCTCTGAATAATTGAGAATAGATGATGGTGAGTTCCAGCTGATTGAGATTTTCGCTAGAACCTCCTTCATTTATAGTGATGATACTAATCGATAAGTTTTCTTGATGGCATTGCTTGACAGTGATTTGCAAAGCTTCACAAATAGACTTGATTGATGTTATTTATTATCAGAAAAGATGTAAATAAACTTTAATTGAGGGATGTCATGAATATCTGGTACAAGTTGTTGACATAAAGCTCCAGTGCAGATGACGAAAGTTTTTTCATCATCCATATCATTCAGTAATACAATATATTGTGACGTCTTCGTGCAGATTGTAACATCGCTGACGATATCACACATTTGTACGAGTGTATCTTGACAATCTTCATTTCGTAGATCAATGCTGCCATCAACCCAGATGATCAAATAATTTTCAGCCATACGTCGCCTTCGTCCCATATTAGTCAAAGAGGTTGTTGTATTTTCAGTGGCATTCATCGTAGTAAATAATAGATTGACGTTGGGCTAGATTACTTTTTCTATTTTTGTATTCGGTGCTTGTTCTTTTTTGTAGATTTTCCTATGAAATTAAACGTTGACGTAATTTTTATTAGTAGACATTGAACAAAGAATACTAGTTAGTTTCAATTGAAGAGAAAAATCTAACAATATTATTTATTCTATTGGTGTTTTTTCAACTTTAGTTTGATTTTTATGTACATGCTGACTTGAGTGTCATTATGTTGAATGCATTTTCTGACTTTTTGTTTATTTTTATTTAACTAGCAAGAACGAAAAAAAGAACAAGAAAGACATCGTCAATTCGATTGTTTTCATTATGATTATTATGAACATTTTGAGAATGTGAACAAAACAACCAGTAAAGTAAACTTAATTTTGTTTGAAACAAAACATATATGTGACACATAATTAACTAGTGATTTAGATAGAAGAAAAAGTCGCTCATATTGTGTTTAATTCTCCACGACATGTATTGTGCTTCATGGCTACGAAAGTCATTTTTGAACTTTTAGTTATTGACGTCATGTGTGAACGTGAAAGTTTCATTTACATCCGAACTCGTTTGAGACATATGCTACTAGAACGATATCTTCTTCAGTGTGACTCATTTTATCGTCAGAAGATGTATGTGAGATTAACAGAATGAATATATCATCACTGTATGGTGTATTAATTGCGAAAATACGATCATATACAAGTACTATAACAGCGCATATAAGGAGCACAAATGAGAACATTTTTTGCGATCGCCTTCATTACGGCAAATTACAGGATATATAATATGGAATATTTTTCGTCAGAGATAAATGCGAATGCTCACATTTTACTCAGTTAGCACACTATAAAATAAGATATTTGCATACATCTTTTGTTTCGAGATTATTTCTCGCTTAACATTTACTCGAGAACAAAATGAGAGAGACTGATCAATATTGAATCACCTTAAAGTGGCCTAATCGGAATCCAATCGACTCAAAAACGGTTGAATCTTAGGATCTTATTATCTTGTACTTCAACAGTAGGTACAAATAATTCAAATTAAACAGAAGAAATAAGAATTGTTTGATTTTCCAGAAAAAAATAAGAGACGTATCGAAAGACAGATTCAAGCCACATTTTTAGAACGTGTCGACATATTTTTAAATAGAATGAATGCATACGGTTCTTGACATACCGTAGCAAAAAAATTGAAAAAACAAAATCACTATTGACTTAGTTTTGAACAAAGAAAGTCTTCCGAATACATCCACATATAAAACTAAAACTTACTCTTTCTGGTTTGAGTGTGGATTTTCACTTCACCAATATGCATATATATTCATACTCTACCCCATTCACTATTCTAAATCTTTTGAAATAATTCCTATTTCACTACTTCAACACATACATAGCGACACTCAACATGGAGCTGTTTTGAGTATTTCAAAAAAGAAATATACTATCTCACTTTCTTTTTGTAGACTTCTTAATATCATTTGGTAGGCCTTGTCCAGATTTATTGATTGATATGACATTTGAAGTGAACAGTGATTGTTAGAGGAGATTTTCTCATGTGCTCATCCGTTATTTGATAGAGAGCTGACAGAGCTGAATTTTTGCATATAGATAGGCTGAATATACGGACAAATGACGATGAGTATCTTTTATGCAAGCAATCTATAACCCAATCCTTCAGAGAATATAAAATATGGATAAATCTCGGTTAGCGCAGTCATTTGATATGCAATACAAAATGCATTAAAAAGTCTGATTATTTTTTCCTTTTATGAGATATTGATATTACCATCTAATTTTATCATCATACGAAATCTTTCATTATAATGAACAGCTGTATATGAATGATGCTAAACAACATCGAAAATCAATAATAATAATAAAAAGTCGATCAAACATATTTAATCAAACAAACACTTGAACAGAATTTACTCATAAGTTTTCTGATACCTATTATTCTCAGAGGTACAAAATATTTCCAATTAAATTCTTTAATATATTTTTTCACTAGATATTTTATTCTTTCAAATCAAAAAAAAAGAGGATCCAGTCCCTAGTACATTATACTGCAATACTATAAAAAGAAAACTAAATCAATATAGAAGTTCTCCTTCATTCGTAACTATTGTGTTGCTACATGATCAAAACAATGAAATAACTATTTTGAAACTATAGAAGTATTTTCATTGTAATAATTCTGTAAATAATCATATAAAATGCATGTTTTATTATTTAGGTTTTTCTTGATGTACTCGAGTTAAATTAGTACCCAACAAACGCAGTAAACATTTTTCAAATTCTTCTAAATTCTGAATATTTGTTTTGATTGATATATAATGATATCAATTAAAAATAATAATCATCATCATTATATCGTTTAATCTTTATATTAATTCAAGCAATTAATTTTCATTTAAAAATTGAATCACAAAGAAACTATTCAAGTCCAAAACGAATTATTTTCTCTACTGAAATTTAATTGATAATATATAATTGTAACATATGTTTAATAGTACGAAAAAAAGAAAAGATTTTTTTCGTAATTAATTTGACGATTTAAGAATAGAATAGCTACATAATCAACTTCATATTGTTGAATGATATGAATAGAATCAACGAAATATATTCAAATTGATAGATAATAGAAGTAATAGAATTAGATTCAGATGAATTAAGATCGGATTTAAAAAACATAACGAAATTCATGACAACTGTTAGT